AGAAAAAGATGGATGGAAAATCCATATCTTCTGAATGTGTACCGTAAATCAATTTTGGAATACGCGAGTGAAAAATCATTTTGTGGCGTATGGCTATAATAATGCCAGAGCGCACTTCAGTGTATATAATGGGCAATTTAGTGAAATGTGCAGTGATTAAAAAAAATTTCCTCTCAAGAAAAAGATGGATGGAAAATCCATTTCTTCTGAATGTGTACCGTAAATCAATTTTGGAATACGCGAGTGAAAAATCATTTTGTGGCGTATGGCTATAATAATGCCAGAGCGCACTTCAGTGTATATAATGGGCAATTTTAGTGAAATGTGCAGTGATTAAAAAATTTCCTCTCAAGAAAAGATGGATGGAAAATCCATTTCTTCTCGAATGTGTACCGTAAATCAATTTTTGGAATACGCCGAGTGAAAAATAATTTTGTGGCAGATAGCTATAATGCTGTCAGTGTATATAATATGCAATTTAAAAATGTGTATATAATATGCAATTTAAAAAATGTGTATATAATATGCAATTTAATAAAGTGTGTAATGATATAATAAAAAAATTAGTGCAGTGTAATGAAATGTGCACTCAGTGCATGCAATATGTTTTATCGTAGAGGAACAACAAGGATACAACAATGAGGATCAATTAGGATACAACAAGGATACAACCAGGATACAACAAGGATACAACCAGGATACAACAAGGATATAACTAGGATACATCAAGGATACAACCAGGATACAATTAGGCTACAACAAGGATGTGACAAGGATACAATTGGGCTATAACAAGGAGACAATGAAAATTTTGCTGAGAATTCTTCTCGAGGAAAAAATGGATTAAGAACTTCGTAGAGGGTAAGTCAAGTTTTTTTAAATTTGAGATATCGATTAATATATAAGAGAACAGACTCATTTCGGATTTTTTTCATAATTCAATAAAATAGAAGTCATCAAAAATTGCAAATAATTTCTTTGTTAATTATATTGCATAAAATAATTATTAATGCATACTTTGTATTATGTCGAGATATTAAACTTCTTTTTTTATATACTATAAGCATATTCGTAAGCGAGTATGTAACTTACTTGCGACGTTCTTGCGATGGTGTAGACTGTACATCTCTGTCTGACCTCGTAGCTGTTCTGAAAAAAAAAAAAAAAACGTTAGGTCTGAGATACTTAATACTGATAGCATTTTATGCAATATAAATACTCAATCTTTCTCGCAATAGTATTAATTATTGGAATTATTTTAAATAATTATATATTTTATAATAATTATATTTTATTTCTTTTCGAATTTTGACATTCTCTTAAGAATACTTTTTTTTTTACAAAAATATTTGATTAATTATTTGATTCGTTATTTGAAAAAAAGCACATTTTGAAGATAACCAATTTTCCTGAAAAATTGATAATTAATTTTGCATTTTTTTTTTAGATTATCTCTGAAACGGTGCAAAATATCATCAATTAGAGAGTGCGGCGAGTAAGAAAGGTTTCCCGATGTCAGTAGGACGAGCCGCGTCGCGAAACAGAGGCGAGAACAAAAACTGGTAAAAAATCAATGAGTTGTATATCTACTGCAAGTTGCGCGACTGCAAGATTGATCGTATCCGCGAACTTGCACTTTCCCCGACAATTCATTCTTCACGGATCATAGAACAACGGCGCCTATTACTTCGCGATGCGAATTATTTCAGATTCTTGTTAACGCGTTTCTGCCTCCCTTTCCCTTTCGTCATTTCACTGATCAATATCAGAAATTATTCAGAATCATGGATTATATCTTTGTAATACAACATCTATATTTAACAACAGATGTTACGAACACACGAGATAAATCTTCATTCTATCGTGGAACATAAATTATTCAAAATAATTATTAAAATTAATTTATAACGTGTATTATATATTCTATTATTTAATTTGTTATTTGTATTTGTATTTTATTATTATTTATTTGAATTTCATGATAAAAATACGAATGAATCAGTAATAATATACAATGAAAAATTTGACTATTAATAAATTAATATTTCCATTTATAAAAAGAAATTATACATTGTCGTAATATATTTCTAATTGAAAAGAAAATACAAATGCGTCATGCAATCGAAAAAAGAAATTAATTTGTACTTTCATTCATATAGTAGTGACAAATATATTTAACTAAATTCTACTTTACGAGTTTCTATTATAATTCATTGATATTTTGTATATTTTTTTATTAAAATATATACTTACATTCTCATATTAGACTTTAATGAGAAATCATTTTTGACATTTTCTTGGATTTTAAATGTAATAGAATTACTTACTTCTTGATCCAACTAAATGTTAGTAATTTCTTCATCGTGTGACAATTTATTCACGGAACACAGCCATGTATCGTGACAACTACCGTACTAACCTAAGTTAGGCTTGTCAGTCTTAAGAATCTCGACCAACCTTGGAAGGAACACGAAAATCAACAAACTTATTCTGTCGTAAACAATATTTAACATATGTATGATAATATTTAATTCTTCTCGTAACGGTGAAATGGATAGTACTCTTTAAAATCCCAGATATAGAAAAAAATAATGAAATATTAATAATTTAAAAAATATTATAAGTATTAAATAATATTAAGAATTATTATCCGGATATATCCGGATTATTATCCGATATAATTGGCTTAAGATATTTCATATATTTCAAAGTAAGTTCGTAAAGCTTTACATTATAGTATTACATTATAGTATTTTAAACTTCTTATATATATAATTTTTTAATTTTTTATAACTGAATCAAATTAAAATCATTTATCAAAATAAATTTAATTTGTTCTTTTATTTATTTATTTTTTTTATTTCGATGAATTGTAGGTGATCAAATTTTTTATATAATTTTCGAAATTTAATGAGAATGAACTGTTTATTTAGACTGAATGAACTGTTTATTAGTTCGCATTATAGATTGATTGCCATAGAATCTACTTCTATGATTAGTATTTAATTTGATTAAACAAGCATACTTCTTCAGCATAATTGAGCATAATTAATAAAAACGAAATTGATTAGGTCCGAACATTTACTCATCAATGGTTTATTCAGAAGCATTCTCATTCAAACAAAATTGACTTCACGGTTTTCATGATTGTTGAAGAAATATAATACGAAGCAAAACTAGTAGAAAGTTTCTTTAAATTTTAAATTATTTAGATAAATTACTTGATGAATTTATTTTAATGTAAAATAATTTTTATTGATTGTAATATGAACGACGCTAATATAATTCTTATAGGAAATAATAATATGCAATCATGAAGTTACAACATTTTCATGTTAATCAATTTATACGCTTCATTGAACATTAGAACATTGAAAGTTTATGTATAAGAATATCGTAAATTTATTCAAAATTATTCGTCGAAAAATTTATTTATGTAAAAAATTTATAAAATGTTACGTGTCATTTGTTGCAAAACTTTAATATTTAATAATGAATATATTATGTTGTGTAATAATTATGTTTGATCAGTATAGATATGACAGTTTTGAATGATATTGTTAAAATAGCGAGAAAAAATGTCGTAATCGATAACAGCTTATAATAATTCAAGACAATTTTTTAATTGTTTAATTTTGTTTCGAAATATTTAGGCGAACCAATGATTAATATCTAAAAAATATTTGATATATCTAAAATATTTAAATTTTGATTTAAATTTTATAATAGCAAAGACCACTTTGAAATCACTTGATTAGAAAGAAAAAATAATATTCTAAGAATTTATTATTTTATCTGTTTAGATAACTGGCTATTGCTGCGAAGATTCATCAAAGAGTTTGACTTTTATGACCGATGAAAAGTGCATGAGTTTGTGTTTTTGCGATCAATAATTGCTCTCTTATTATCTTGGATATGCATTTTTATCGTGTATATTTGAGCTGATAAGTTCCGCATCGTTCATCAGCTTTCGCTCGGAAATATAATAAAATTCTGTCGATGATTTTCTCTTTACAAGAGAGATTATTTTCCATGCTTGTACATTTTCAGACCGGCAGAATATTGCGAATCGCATATTATACTACAACGTGAACTATTCTTAACGAGATTTGCGTACAAATAAAATAATAAAAGTGAAAGTTACATACACTAATAATGTTCCATACTAATTTACACAATTATTCATGCGATGTACTTTCCATTTAAATCTTATATGCGCTAAGAAACGCAGTTAACGTGTTTCTATAGGCTGACGTACAGCTCAATGAGTATTAAAAAGAGTATTAATTAGAAGAAGGTGTCGACGGGCAAGGTGCTCGATTTTTTAATTTATTAATACGTCAAGCAGATGAGTATGCAGCTTTTTTATTCGATATCCGTTTCTATATACGATTGCAATCGAGTATGCATTAATATGCAAAATAAATAAATCCGCAAGTCAATTATGAGCTTGTCGAGCAAGTATTCATTAAGCCTATCTCTATGCACATTCTTGTCATTACTGATCATTAATTATTAAGCAAAATACCAAAATCAAGATTCTTAATTACACTACGTATTGCATGCTTTCTTCATAACAACAATTTAATCTAATCTAAAAAACATTAAACGTTTCTACTTTAAAAAAAAGAATATTCTAAAATTTAAATGTTTTCAATCAATTTTAATTGTCGCTGATGTTATTTATCCAATTTCATAAATGTTTTACAACATATAACTTTTTCTTGTAGGCTAATTTTTCAATTTGCAGCGGACTTTTCTTCAATTAAATACAATGTTTAGACAATATAAAATTTTTCACGAGATAATTAAGTCAAATACAATTGAACAAATGATCTACAATCACATTTATTTCCCAGAATGATAGTCGCGTGGATTTAAATGCTAATATATTTCATCTTGTTAAACATCACAACAGAAACGTTCTCTCGAAACTTTTTTTGAAGAGACAATCCAGGAGTAGAGTAATCAAAATCAAGATCGATCCTTCTGGGACAGTTTGCGTAAGATTCCAGTTGTCCCGGTTTAGATAAACTTTTTTATCGTCTCCGATGTTCACAGACTTCACGGCTTTCTTATCCTCGCTCAATGGGACAATGGCCGTGCCTTTTTACTTGCCGCCGGCGCAGGTCGCAGCTTTAAATACCGGTGCAATTTTACAGCAGTGCGGTCTAAGCGCGGTAATTCTGTACAATCTCGCGCCGCTCGACGAGGAGATAATGGCAGTCATTACAAGTCGCGAGTACACAGCCGGTTGAAAACGTCTAGTTAACGGTATGCTCCCGTTGCCCAAACCTACAGGGGGGCCCAACCGCTATTCTTTTGGCCGTAATTAGCCCGTGTCTTCGACACGCTCGAACTTTTTGGAACATTTTCACGAGATGGAAAGCAATCGAGATCTTCTCGCGCGTCGGAGAAACTCGGAAGCAAACCGTAGAATCTCTCCCGCGTGCACATGTTCTTCCGCTTATGTTAGATTGGACCCGATACGTCTTTCTTTCTCACGCAGGCGCAGCGCCGATCGAGCGAGCCGCCGATATCGCTCAATTATCTTTATGTAAATCCGCGATTGAGATATCTATCGCGATGCATTTCTCTTCCGTCTGATAGATATCGATGAAATAACGACTATAAATTCTACTCGAGTTGCCACTGTATTTCTTGGAGAGGTATTTTCTGAGTTTACTTCTCTAAAAGAGATTAGAGGTGTATAAACAATTTTCCATAAAATACCAAAAATTCATTACAAAGAAAACAGAAAATAAAGATGAGCGATTTTGATAAACATGAGCGATTAGAAATATGAATTATTTGAAGTGACATATACGAAAATATTTTGTGGCAAAAATAAATATAATTTGTTAAGTATTTGATTATTGTATAGATTTATTCGTTTTTTTTCTATTTTAAAATCTGGATGTATTAATTGAAATATGTGAAAATATAGTTATTTATTTCTTAGAGAGTAAAGATCTTATCTCTGATCAGTCGTACAATATATTTTTCATTTCTATTAATTGTACTCTGATAATCGAAATAATTTTTGCTTGGTCTTTGCTCTGTTTGGTCTAGTGTTGCATTTTTTCATGATAATTTATATCTTATGCATTTTGCATAGTAAGAAATTCAAATAACAGACTAACGAAAAAATGATGTGATATCGTGAATGCCAATATCAAACATTGTTGTTTAACTGCGGATATACTATCGATGTATTTAACATTCGTTATATATAACAAGCTGATTAATTTTTTGGGGCGCTTTTATCAATTTATTTGATATGAATATCGATAACCTTCACCTTATATTGAATATTATTATCGATACAAACTTGCAGTTTTCATAAGAAAATTATTCAATGTTCTTAAAATGTAGAATGTAGATTATAGCAAAAGTGATATAATAAATATTCAAGACGCATATTTGAGATAAAATTATATTTTATCAATAATGAAAATAAACAAATGTCTAATAACAGAAGTTAATTTTTGATGTATTAAAAACATAAAATTACAAAAAATTTAGTTTCTTTAGTGAAATATTGTGAAAAATTTTACTTTAGTACAATAAGTTTGTATTGTAATGTGTTACAATGAGATATTATTTATAGTATTATATGCGAATATTATTCACAGGAATTCCTTGAAATATAGTCATATATTATATGATTAATAGAATAATCATAAACATTTTTATTATTGTCGATTCCATTCTAGACAAATATTATTATCAGATAAAGCAACTTTAATAAATAATTAATTTAATAAGTGACAAGTGCCAAAAACAAATTTATATGTAACATATAAAACAATTAAAATAATTATCAGCAATTATAATTAATCAACATAAATTAATATGCCATAATTTAAATAGATCAAAAAATCGCGCGATGTGATACAAAGTAGGTGAAAATCAGATATACAAAGAGCGTAAAAATTAAAAATTATAAAATATTTTTCTCTAAGCATGTTATTCGCACTTGCAGTTCTAATTTGAAATGGGTAAGAAACTTACTTGAACCATTTAACTATCTTGCACACACCCATGTCGCACGTGGTGGATCCGCACAGCCAAACTTCGACGAGTTGATTTGACGTCGCGATGCCGACGAACACTGCGAAACTCGACCTAAACGTACACGAGAGTTGCCGTTGCGATCCGCTCCTTTCTCACAACTGAACGCGAAACTACGTGGGATATGTACACAGACGATGCCTCGATTCTGATCGTTCCGATGGGCGTAGTTTTAGGCACGACTCGCCAATCGTTCACTCCTGTAGCTTTCGATCGATCGACTGATCCCACTACATCAGAACGATAAACGGAAGGACGAGCTATTAAAATACCGAATTAAAGTAAAGGAAAATCCGGCCCATTCAAGCGCCTATAAAAACACATACGATTACAAAAACTTAATTATAGATGTATAAAGAATCACGTTGCAAAAGTTCTATAATTTTCAAAGATTTAAGAAGATTGCATTGTGTCCTAGTTTGTGCGAGATTATTGTTACCAATTTTCATGAATTTAGAAATTAAATAACTGTAAAAATTTTGTTTACGAGTAGAAAATATTAATTGAAAATGCATGAAGTCTAAAGAGTAGAAATAAGTTCTACTTAACTACTATAACAAGCTTTTTCTGGTGCAATAAATGAATAAATAACCCATATATAAAATAAAAATAAATTTCTAAAATTATTTATTGCGGCACATTCTTATCTTTATTTATAAAATCTCGAATATCTGAAAAATCCAAAATTTCTATATTAATTAATATTGAGAAAAATATTGTTTGGTTGTATTAATTGGAATTCTGCTTGAAAATGGACAAATCAGAATTTTCTGCTTAAATCTACTAAAATTTTAATTGAGATAACCGGAATTCTAATTGCTATAATCAGAATTCCGGTGTGTTATTTTCAATCATTTTTTTCAGTGTACTGATGAAGATTTTACTAATAAAGATTTATTAAATTTTATAGATAAGAACATGTAGCTAACGGGCGACAGCGGATCTTGTGCAATTGCATGTATTCTCGCGATAATTTAAGTCTGCTGGAAAGCTGAATTCTTAGACAGTAATTACACAATTCGTCGTTCTGAAACTAGCCGGCTTTGTACGGAATCTCCGTGCGTAACGAAGTGTTCTGATATCGCGTTCCGAGTCTGCGCCTTGGCACGCCTTTTTTCGTCGGCTTGGCTCACAAGAGCATACCAGTACCGGTAGAATCGGTGTGATGACTGATAACGTACAATTACGACGTGCAATCGGCAACACAAATATAGAATTGGGCCGCCGCGTGTAGGATGAACTGTATTTTATAACTTGAAAGAATAACACGAAGATGTCACTTATTTTATCTCCATAATATATTACATTTGTATTCAAATGTATGTAAATTTACTTCAACGTTTCATTAAAATTTACAGAATTGCAATCCAAAAGTGAATAACAGATTAATCGTTAATGACTCTTTATAAAACATTTGAATATCTATTGAAAATTAATTAGTTTCTCACAGCTCGTTTATTATTCTCTTGTAGCAGAATTTATAATATGCAACTTATGTAGGAATAATAGTAACTATGATTATTTACTATTAAAAATTAAAATTTTAAGAGATACATCAGATAAGAGAAATTGACTTAAAATTTATCAGAAAGTAAAGAAGAAATTATGCAAATATTTTGAACATCTTGTATATACAGATAACAATTTCGCTGAGAATGTGCAAGGTCGTACAAAAATATACGTAATTATGAAATTATATAACCAGAAGAATATTATTACAAAAATAAATTAATGAAGATTTAATTGCAAAGACGCATGATAATTTTTACTTTATAATTTCTATTATTTCTATCAGCTAGAATGAAAATATGTTTTCTCTTTTTATAATATACAAATAATGTTCTATATATTATGATTACTTAAACAATAATAGAATTTTTATGAACTTGATTGTATTACATAAAATGTAATAGAATTTTTTTCAAGTAAATAAATATTTATATAAATAAATATAAAGAAGGCAGGAAGAAAAATTATGAACTAATTTAATGATTAGTGTTATCACAAATATGCAGCGTTTAAAGAATCTATCTCTTCTCTTGAAACTTTACGCTTTTGTGTATTCCATTGTGATTTTTCGCTTAGGGCGCTTTCATTTCTTGTTTCACACAGAACTTGAATGCTTCCCATCCCTCATTGCGTTGTTGAGACTATAAAAAAATCAAGTTATTTCGCATTAATCGATAGCTCGCAATGTGCAGCCTGATAAACGGCAACCATTCATACGGTTTTGTAGTAAATCTTAATTCGATATTATTATATCTCATGTAGGATATTATACATCTAAAATAATTTTTTAAAAGTATGGAATATATAATTTCAAAATATATAAGATATCTACGATATATAAGATATCTACGATATCTTACTATATCTTACTTTAAAGCCTCGATGCAATCGATCTTTCATAATTGCTATAAATTCCTTGTAAGAGAGTTGACCGTCTCCGTCCACATCGAATAATGCAAAAACTGTATCGATTATATGCGTCGAAAGCATTGTTCCAGTGCATATCTTTACAGCTCGTTGGAATTCATCTAAAAAAAAAGACGATATTAGAAAAGGTATAACAAAATATTATATTTTAAAGAATTGTATATTAAAAAAAATAAAATTATTTTTGTTTAATACTACAAGTTTTATTTGATAAAAATACTAATATTTACCTTTAGATATAGGATGGTCAGCCAATGTATACATTCGCATTGCTATTGAAAAATCGTCCAGAGTATTTAAAAATTGATAGAAGCGCCGGAATTCTTCAAACGTGATACCAATATGCAAGTCTGCTCGGTCTAACATTCTGTCCAAGTATTTATCATACCTACGAATTTAATTAAAACAATTTCTAAATTAGTCAAAAAATACAGTGACAGATAAAAACGTATTCGAACGGAAAAATTTCCTAATATCACTAGCTAAGTTCGGAAATAAAAATATATAAAGCATATAAATCAAATATTTTGTTCATTTAAAATGTTAATAATTTATCACGCGCAATTATCTTCCAAAATTATTATTTTTAAAATAATTTTTACGATTATTTAACTTACTCATCAGGTTCGAGATACGTATATCGTAATAAAATTTTGGCAAAATCTAATTCATTGATCGTATTATGTCCTTTGCTGAATTCGTGGAACTCCAATTCTAATACTTCATGTTGTAAGTTCTCCATGAAACGCTTGAAATCATCGTATCTTAATTCGTTAGTGCCATCTTTGCCGAAAAAATGTATCATCAAGGTAGTATCCACAGCATGACGTCGTTGCAAACCCTGTAGAAAAATAGACGAAGCCGGGGAGTGAAAACTCGTTAATTTTGAGAGTTCTAGCTTTATTTTTAAAAATTTCTAATAGTTATTTGTAAGATATCAAATTATGATACCTGATCATCGTCGATGAATTGGCCTTGAATTTCTTCTGGCGTTTTCTGGCGTTCCTGCAATTGTTCCAATTCCTCTTTGGTTTCGCCTCCATGGCGACCTCTCCATGCGTGACTGAATATCTTCTCCATCTGCATCGAAGAAGAAGATATGAGAACGATTGCTATTGCCATAGATCAATATTAGTACACTCTTTATTAACGAACACGTATATAGAGATTACATGATATAAAGATAAAGTGACGGCAGTATTTCGGCGTCCAGTATTAGTACATCTGGAAGAAGTGGCAAATCGTGTTAGAACACGATTATTAGTAGATTAGAACACAAGTAGATTTTCAACAGAGCTGCTAAATTGCATATTAGTGCATCAAATGTGAAATATCAATGTTAGTAAAATTTGAGACAGACAATAATCATAGAAATATTGGGCTGTACTGGATTTGCGTACATGGAGAATTACATAATATAATTCCCATAATATATTTTGCTTAAAGTTAAGAAAGATTATATATGGCAATAACATAACATATATATATATATATATATGCAATATTATTACATATTAATGCAATTGTTTATTAAATAGTGATCATGAAGTGGTATTATTGGTCGGTATTATTGATAATGATAAAATAAATAAATATATCGTTATTTCTTAATTGCTATTATATTTTTACAATTATACAATCTTTATATTGCGATTTTATATTAAATAATACAAGTATATACGAATAAAAATAAAAAATATGAAAAATATTAGAAAAAAACAAAATAAATGGAAAAAATTATATAGAAAAAGAAATAACTTTGATAAATATAAAATACAACACATACCAATTTTTATATATTGCACATATATTGCAAACTTACGTAGGAATTTGAAGCGATTTCATTTGATTTATTTGGACGAGCTTCGCGAAGCTTTGCCTTGCCTAGAGTCTCTTCGCTCGGAGCAATTATGGCACGTAACTAATTTGTCGAAATAAATAAAAAAGCATTAGCTTGGATAGAAAATAACGCATAATAAAATTAATGAAATAAAGATGTTAATTAAAAAATTATAAGCAAAAGATATTTGTAAAAATTATTAATAAATACTAAATAATAATTGTTCAAATGTAATAAATACTAATAATTAATATGAATAATTAATATGTATATTTTTCTTTGAAATATAACGGATTTCCAAAATTTTAGTTATAGAATCTCTGAAAAATGAGCTATTTATTTTAAGCAATCAATATTAGATTTGATTAAAACATTTCTATAATAAACAGTTTTAAAAGTAATGTAATAAAATAATATGTACAATATAATTCTAATAAAATCCAAAGCATTTTTGCAGAATAAATAGCTCAAAGCGATAAATGGAACAATAAATTATATAGCCATTAGATGATTTCACAGCTGAAAAGGAGGTAATGACATATTGATTTTCTAAATGTCAGTTGATGTTTAACTTCTGATACCGTCCTGATCGAGAAAAAATTTTCTGAAACTCACTGCACGTTTTGTTGGTTCATCGAGATCTCGTTCCTTCAGACTACCACCGAGTAAACGACGAATCTACAAAAATGACAAAAACTCTTGATGTTAATCGATGATTAATATAAATTTCTTAATGACAAAAGTTCTTCTTTGATAGGTTCTCTCCATCCCGTCCCAAGTGTCCCGATTAGTTTGTGCAAACTAGAATGAAGTTCGTTCAGAAATCTTGCATCTTTTAAACATTTCAAGAAAGAGATTTTCAATATTTGAACATAGAAATGTCTTTTCTATAATTTCTTTTCTGCAATCCTAATTGTGTATTATATTTGCTTATTGTGGATTTGCAAGTCTATCAATTATCTATCAAACAAATCTATATCTCATTACATTAAAACTCAATTATAAAGTGAAATAGTGAAAACTAATAAATGAATTCTTACTAATAGTTCGAGTGAGTATATTCATGCATTTGCGATTACCGAAAACGTGCACGCTTGCGATGTAATTAACTTACTACAAGAAATTCGGTTTTGTCGACTCTCTCATTTCCATCGGTATCAAACATATTGAAAGCGATTTGGAAACCAGTTTTCGGCTCTGCAACGAGATTAGTTATTGCCATAAGTTTACAGCCTTACATTCAGATGATCAACATTAACATTCTTATACCGAATAATATGTTCCTGCTTAAATAAACTTTAAGTTTTCTTTCATGCGAAAAATTTTAAATAAATTGCAACATGGATAACATTTATTTATAAATTCTTTGAATAATAAATTTTTATGCAATACATTTATATAATAGATTTTTCTAACAAATTTATCGATATATGAAAAGTTTAAGTTGAAATTAAGCAACTTCGGCATAATTAAATTTTTTAGATTGCATAAAAATAATACGCAATACTATTGCATATAATGTTCATTCAGTGAATTAAAATTCATTCTAATCTTAAAGTTTTTAGCTGAAGATTATCGCTTAGATATATGGTATACATCAAACAAATTGAACACTCTGTGCAGATTATATTCTGCCAAGGAAGCGGATTACGGTTATTGCGTGAAAAAGATGAACGCAGCATCTCATCGCCAGATTTTTCTTTTATAACTTATTAGAGATATTTCTTTTATATAGTTATATAGTTTATATATTGAACATTGCGATCAATCGCTGCGTTTCATTTAAACGTTTTGTGCATTTAAGTCGCAATTTATTTCAGAAAATATATCTCAATATATCTCAGAAAATAAAGCAGAACTTACTCGTTAGAATAGACAGAAGAAATAGATATTCCGTGTAAGAAATAATTCCTGAAAACAAAAATAGAAGAAATTTAGAATCATAAAGCGATATGATCTGATAAGTAGTTAGAAGATTGATTGTACACCTACTTAAAGAAACTGTATATTACATTCTTTACATGTGTGTGAGATTTTATATATTAATGAATTAAGAATAGCATGAAGAATATATTTTTATACAGTTTTATCCTTACTTGACTTACTGAAATTAAATAATTAATCTTGCCATTATTGTGCACATATCGAGGCATTTTATAAAAAGCATTTATCAATCTTGGATGTAAAAATACGTTATTACTTATCATCCTCTTTTAAGTAATTTATATCAAATTTATAACAAATCTAAATTCAATGTTTAATTTCACGACTGGGATATACCTTCCTATAATAATAAGAAATCGAAATGTTACAAACTTTAAGTAATGTCTCTAGAGGCAAATCGTTATACTCCACATGATGTCTACATCTCGTAAATTTTCGTGATTTCGTCGAATTCTTTCCTAATTTTCCAACTAATCCACATTTGAGGATAACGAGAGGTCTGCAGTATTAAACGCGTTTATGACATCTCGAAATAGAGAATATGTCAAACACGCGTTAGATACGCCTCACGAAATTTCAGGTATTTTCTGAGATAACCATCATCTTCGAGGATGATCAATAATTTAGAATTTAATAGCAAAAGCGGGACTCGCAGACGCACCTAAATTCTGATTTTTAAATATGCTCCCTGGCCGCGCAGTTTAGCTTGTATGTAACATAACAAGAAGTTTAGTTTACAGATCGTAGCTACCCCATAAAATTCCTTCGTGATCTCAAAGGCATAGAAATTAAGGGTCAAAAAAAAAATAAAGAAAACAAAATCAATTCACTGGCGATGACGTTTGATGCGTGTAAATCTGTTGTTTCGTTTCGCTAGTATTTATTGAGTATTTTCGTTATTAGAATTACTTTTGAAATGAGTATTAAAGTAAATTAATTAAATATTTAAATATCCAATTTTGTCATTAATTCGGGAATTAAATATTATTAAAAAAAAAGTATATATATATATATATATATATATACGTATGTATATTTAAATAATAATAATATAAAATGTGTTATTTGAGAGAAAAGATATTATCTCAAAGCTATCAAGGAAATAACTATCGTAGTACTGCAAAAAGTAGCCCGTGTCATTGGCGCAATAAGGAAGTGCAGCGACTAAACATTACGATTACGGTCGGCTGAATCAACGAGTACTCAGATATATTGAGTTAACATGATAACGATGACGCCATCCCGGTCGTTATGGTTTCTCGTCGATGGCACCCAATCTCCTTAAGTCGTTCTTAATTGTAACGGCCCCGCGACTCTATCGAGTGTTCTTAAAAGCGGGCTCGTTTATCTGTGTTGGTATAATTCCGCCTCGCACGCACGCGGAAAGAAGCAGAAAAAGAGGAAAAAACAGTCATGGCATTGATGGCGGCGCAGGGATGAGGAACTCATTATTATTGAAGAGAGGTGTGAAACTGGATGCCCTCTCCCCCTCTCATCGGCCCTCCCCCCCCCTTTACGTCTGCTGATTATTTGCATTTCCATTAACGCGACGAACGTGCAGTGCACGCGCAAAGAGCAAAGAGGAAACGCAGCCGCCGCGAGAAGTGCAGCCGTGCCATTAAATTAATGATACCAGCCCTGTCTGTCGCGACGAGCGTTGAATACGTGGGTGGTGGAAAATTTATGTTGGATAAATGTCGTAAGTACAGGTTGCGATCACAGGTCGTACACAGGTTGATCGCGATTGATAATCACGCTTATTACGTCTCGTCATTTTTCTCGTCGAATCACATACTTCCGTAGAAAGCTCCGAGGTGTGAACCGCGACACTTGAAGCGTCTATCTCGTCTATCGAGACTTACCAGTCGGATTTTTACGGCCCGAATTTACGGCTTTTTTCTTATTCGCATGAATACAAAATAATATTTTCATATACTATATATAATTGCTATCTGCGTATCTTTTTATTTCTGGACATTATAATTATCATTTGTGGTTTATTTCCAGACTGCTTAAAAAATTATTGTTCGCATATGTGTATTAGATAATTTCTCTTGAAATACCTTTGTCTCGCAAATTCCGGAACATATGGGTGCTCCCATGACGTAGCGAAGCAGTTGAATTTTTTATTATGTCAAGCTCTTGATCGGTCAGTACGCGCCTCTTCAATCTCGCTGAAAATATCATTAGGATCGCATATGCCGCAATGAAAGCTTATTGAGTGATATATCTATAATATGCTTCAAAAAAACATAAAAAATTAAAGAAGCGACAGAAATATAAACGTAAAATCGAAATTTCGCTTTACACTTTGAATTAAGTAAAAGAAACCAGTGACAAAGAAGAAAATAAGAAAGAAAATAAGAACTTTCTTTTTTTCCGAAAATTTCCGAAAGAAAATTATTTTGCTAATAATAAAAAAATTGCATTGTTTGAATAAAAGATGTATATTATATTACAAATTGTCGCAAAACTATAGCTTTTTTTCCTTTTATATTATCGAAACGAGAATGATAATTCTAATTCATTATTCTAATCGATTGTCTAAATAACTTTCATTGTAAAGATTAGAACAGATAAAAGTATTAAAATATAAATAAATGTATTACGTACGTCGAGGTTCGGCATCAATGACGCTGTCAAGAAAATCCTGCGGAGTCATGTATAGTTGACCATCATATGCCACTGATGCAAATTTTATGAATCTTCTCTCTCTAGTTGTCAACTTTATCGCTTTATGTAGATCATCTTCTCTCTACAAAAATAAATGTTGTAATTAGTAAAATTATACAATAATCAAATAACGTAAATGTTATGTTGTGATATTTGTGAAATGTTAATGATATTTAAAATATATTCATAAATGGAAGAATACTAAAGTTGCACTAAAATAGACTTTTCATCAAAATATTTAAGATTTCATAAAATAAAATCACGCCGAACGCACATTCTGTTTTTGCACTTCGTTTTGTATTCTGATTAGTATCACTTATTTAATTTCATTTGGTTAAAAGTATGTTTCATAATAAACGTTCTATTACTTGAATCATTCCTGATGACTGAATTTGCTTTAATCTAATTGATATGTACAATAACAAATTTTAATTGTTATACGTAATTGATTTTTTTTTATCATGATTGAATAGTTCTGAATGTTTCAATAGAAATGCGACTAGAAACACGAAGGTGATATGTCGATTCTTATCGACACTCATCAATTCAAACGTAGACTAAAGCTCAGACTATTCGCTGACAAGCAGGTAGGCGAGGTGATGAATATGACATGTTAATTCACGCGTTGAATTCCGTCGCGTTTCTACGAAAGAACAACATGTGCTATCAATTGGTGTCAGCAAGTTGTTTGCTAGTTGATGACAGATTGACATTATGCAGTTTCGAATGTGGCATTACACTTGGACTCGATCAGATTTTATAATTAAATCACTTCTCAAATTCTTTTTATTTCTAAAAGAATTTTTATTTTACCAACTTTTATGTATATGAAAAAGACAAAGTAATTTAGATTTTTATTTGTCGATATAAAAATTGAGATATGAACCGTATGTTTAATTCTTAATAAAAACGGAAGCAATATTCTGAATTATAATGCAATAAATCAATTAAATTGTTAAGATTAATTGAATTTATAACTATTTAAGATTAAAGAAACCACGTTCGCTGCTAAATTGACGGAAATTAGATAATCATGGCGTGTAAAAGTGGCGGATAAAAGCACCGTGAAATTGCGAGTGAAAAACATATATGAAAGATGCAACCAAGTCTTGACTGCGCATTTGTTAGGTGATGCAATTTGAGTCACTATCCCAGTGTGTGGCGGTGTGTCACCATGCGTACCCACTGTTTGTAATTTAAAGAGAGATTAAATTACAAGTGATCTTTCACGGGTGCCGTTAGCGCTCGGCGTTTCTATTCTTCTTTTTAAACGATTAAGGATACTTTGGGGATGGACAGCGAAAGAGAGACACCACCATGGTAAAACTTCTCGAATTTCCGCTTCCTGGCCTTTTTGTTGGATCCTCATCATTATGGACCTACTTTGTCGGCAGGAACCTTTCTTCCCATAAATACTTGCTTGGCAAATTTATATGGTTTCAGTATTAAATGAGCTTTTTTCACGTTGGAAGTATTAGATTACTTCAAGTAGAATAAATCAATTTATTGCATCACATTGTAAATATATGAGTAATTCTGTGATAGTTCTTTTTTGTAATGAAGTCTGTTTAATTTTAATAATTATTCTCAATTATAGAAATAAAGTTACTCATATCACATTGATTATAAATAAAATATAAATTTGAAATTTAGAATATTAAAATGAAATAATAATCAAGGAGTCATCTGTAAAATTTTTTAAATCCACTTTTCTAAACAATATTACATTTTTTCTCTTAAATAACTTGCATATACGTATGCATTGTACGGATTATTTAAAATTTCCAATTCATTCTTTAATAAATTAATAATACGTATTATTAATATTAATGTATTAAAAATTATATCCAAGAAGGCACGATAAAAAAAGTTACAGGACATAAGTTTTTGACGAGGGATATCTTTACAAATATATTCCGCATCATTTATTCCAGATCAATCATTTAAGGTGCAGTAAATTCACCTTCAGTTAGCTATGTGTAATCGGTGTATGCGTTCAACATGTTGCCACGCAGTTAAATGCCAAACGATATGCTCTCGCGTAACGACGTGAATCTGCGACCTCATCCGGCCAGATTGAATCGTTCAGCCCAGGAAGCATCAAATCACCGGGAACGCATCGACTGTTGTGCTTCAAGGAGTCATCGGAGCCACCTCGCCACTTAAATTATCGTTCGCTACCTCGCGCGTACGAGATTGCGGCTTTTATTTATTCGCAAGTAATGGCACATTGTTGGCTGATGTAACGGCTTGAGCTTCCTATAAGATGATCTCTTAAATGATGGTTACGTTTCCTGGTATCCTTCGTATTTCTATGTCATCCGTTACAGATATGCTAATACAGGTATTGAGATTGTTCTTGCCATTCTTGATATCAGAATTGAGGAGATAGAATTTTTAGAAGGAATCATATTTCTAACGAAAAAATATATTTAATTGAAATTTATTATCTCTGTTAATAAAATGGAAAAGAATAATATTCTTTTTAATATTGAATGATGACAAAGATTGGAATTCTATTATTAATTTAGCAATAGTAGAATTATAAGAATTTTATTACTTTTGGAATTTCTAAGCTTTCTAATTTTTATAATTTTATAATTTTATAAAGAAGTAAAAAATTAGAGAGGATTGCCGAATACAATATTGATTTTTCAATGTTTTTGCAATGAAACATTTATAATTTGAGATATCATTTTTTATGTGCTTTTTTGAATTTATTAATTTCTAAAAATATCTTATGTGGTTTCAGATTTCTTTCTCTTTTAACGATTTTTACAAGTAGTTGTAAATATCTTGTAGCCACTGTAGACTCGCGATCCTTGGCAAGTGAAATTTGTCATTCGATGCACATTTCCATAAGTGCCATCGTAACCAGATACTCTTTCGCGAGGATCGGATGTCCTTTCGCGAGGTTGCTTCTACAAATAAATCACCTCTCATTGTGATAAAAAGACATCTATCTATAATGACTTGCATTTGTAATAGCGTCATTTTTATACTGCGTGATAATTTGTCTCGCAAGTCTAAATATCATTCAGCGAGTTGCGCATTTGTTATAGTTTCATAAAATCAGAAAATGCTTGATAAATTATCTCAGAATAACAACTAGTAGTGAAAGAACAAATATCAATGTTGAAATATTGGTAAAATTTAATCAATTATAATCAAGCAATACTGAATCTTCTTAATATAATAAAATATTCCAATTTACAATTTAATAAAAATATATGTTAATATATAATGTTAATTATATGTTAAAATTATCATTCATAATATACTATATCTGTTTATATTACTCGATTTCTACAATTAAATTTTTTTCTCTCTTTAAATAAGATGAGCAGAAAGGATAATAGATTTCGCGCGCGTAATCTCCCATTAAACTTCTCTCTCGCTGTATGCTATACTTTAAAATAACTAATTTTTCGAAAATTACACCTCCGGGTAATCAGTATGGCATCGATTCAACAAACCCTATTGTACAGAACGATGGTATAGCTCGCAAAATGGAGAAGAGCGACCTTTTTCCCCGACGACAACGTTCTTCTGGAGCGTGGAAATAAGACGCAACGACAAGAACGAGAGCAAAAAGAAAAGAGCGTTGATCGCGTTAGCTAATTTAAGTTATATCGCACTCGATCAATATTCCGGATGGATGGCGTCCTTACATTCGCTCTCTCGCTATAATACGAAGCTAACTAACGTATATCGGCACGTCCTCGCGTGTTTACCCGAGCAGGACCATGCGGGATGTTAGGCTGGCATGTTCGCGGTGTCGAGGGTAATGACAGACGCGGTGAACATTATGCTAAGTGCGAGAGACCAGGCCACTTCTTTTCGTCCTCCTCCCAGACTTCTGCTCTTCGTCTCTTCCTTTTTTCTCTCGTTGCCCCTCTCCCGATATCCAGCGGGCATCACGGGTGATTAAAGACCCGTTGAACTCCTCCTCTCTTTCTCTGTCGAGTTCTCACCTCCTAGATCCATCCCTTTCGCGTCCCCTCTTCCGTCTCCGTAGCCGTTTACAGTTTTCAATAAAGAAGCACGCGACGCGCCGCGCCGCGTAGAAACAATTTCCTCGAAGTTGTTTCGCCTCGTTTCTCGGCTTAAATCGATAGGCGAGAGGCAACGGCGATAGGCATCGCCGCCCGAGACTCGCGCGAGAAACGGGCGCCGGCTGTCGATTTTTGTGGATGGGTGTTAAACGGAGGCGTCAGCATGCGAGAGAAGAAAATGCGGTAGACCTTGAAGCACTATGCTTTTTCTCCGGTTCTACACGGCGGTCAGATTATATGCGAGATAAAGTAAGGTGACTTTACAACATTAGAGGAGCACCCAAGTCGAAATTGTCTAAACTACCAAAAATTTGTCTCTGAGATGATAACAGACTCAGAAAAATATTGCAAGTTTAGGGAGATGAAAAAAAATTTGATCAGACAGTCTTACTTATTCTTTATAATATTAATATGTTATGCGTATATAATGCATATATAATATAATATAATATAAACTGTGTATGATTAAGTGAAATTTATTTATTTTATAAAAATTAGCATGTGAATGTTATTTAAATTAGATTTCACGAATTTGTTAAAATAAACTGGCTGTTTCTTTACGTACAAATATCTTTTTGCATTAAATAAAAAATTTTCTTTTTTTTTGCCACTATTTCTTTTTAATATAAAATTTAAAATTATGCAAATTATTAAATGATCCTGTATGTTTTGTGTTACACATGACCATGTACTATCTGCAGTAACAGTGTAAATTATTTTTATATTTCATACATTGCAACAATAACTGCTCAGTCATTAGAGTCTAAATTATTTCTATAATTATTTCCATAAACCATTTCCGATTTATAGTCCTTATACTCGCTATCCAATTTGTTTACTGACACGTATAATCTCGGCGATACAAATTCGTGAAGTCTAATTTAAATAACGAGCTGCTTGAAGTGTTAATATTCGGGCGTTGGCGATAATTCGGGTGAGTAAATCGATGATTATGCATGAAGTATACGTGTGCACTCATACCTTATACGCGTAAATGCATTCTCACGCGGTATGCGTAAAATTAAGA